AAAAAAGATAATTCATGTTCTGCAAATAATTATCTTTTTTTTTTTTTTTCTCTCAAGTTGTTTGGGTAATATATTGCTTGAATATTTCGCATTCTCAATGATGAGACAACGTTCTAATTGTTCAAATTGAAAGCGAAGGAAAAGTTGAAGTGAAAGTTTGAAGGCAGAAATTAACAATATGGGAAGGCAAGAAACCATAGCCATGTTCCATGTCTAGAAGGTCTACATTTTTTAATTCAAAGCCCCAAATAACTCCAATTTTACTTTTTTGTTCATTTTTTTTTTATTTGTTGCAAACATAAGCAACCGATTACATAGGTGTCCTTCATTCATTAAAATAATAACAATAAAATCAAATCAGCTATGTGTTAGCTTGTAATTAACGTGGCATAGTATAAGGGGCAATAATTATTGCTGAAGTTATTCATGGCACAAGCACTATTCATGATCGAGTCTTTTTTTTTTTTAGAGAAAACATCCTTAAATTTATTAAAGGTGATCATTTGTTATACTTTCATTAATGCATTTTACTTATTATATATTAAATTAAATCTAGCATTCTTATGTTGTGATCAATCTCTCATTATATGAAAAAATTATTACATACGAACTCTGGTTGCATTCAGAGTCTAATGATGAGGCGTCACATGTCAAGTGAGTCTCATCAAAATAAACTAGTATTGACCAGTGTTAAAAGCAGTGAAACTCACTTAATATATGATGCCCCACCATTGGACTCCACACTTAAATTACTTCCGGAGTACGGATGTAATATTTTCTCCATTCTATGAGACGGCTCCTTAAAAAAAAAAAAAAACTCTTGTTTAGGAAGTGGATCTAGCGAGGAGATGGTTGGGAAATAGTGAGGGAATGAGAATATGAGAGGTTAACGATGCTTAGAAGGAGATATAAAACACTCAATGACTATCCTGATCAACTGAAAATAACAAAGGGATAGATCCACGAAACATTAATATTGTATGGATTTGAGGAGGTTCACTGTCTATTCATGATCAACTACTGACACATCACTTGCAAGAGAAAGATGACACAACAATCATAGGGTATAGAAAGTAGAGATTAAAAACAACACGCTACAAAAAAAACAAAGCTCAGAAGTCTCATAAACTAACAACTAACATCACATAATTAGTCTCTCAAGCAAAAACCCGAATTCTAATTTATTAATAGAAAAAAAAAATCATCAGCTAGGTGCGGAGCATGGAGGAATATCGTTTGTCACGCATGTGGTATGATGGGAATTGCAGGGTTTTGCGATCATGCGTTGCGAAAATCCCACACGGGCGTCGCCGCAACTAGCTTGATCGTCAACGATAAAGCCGGAGCGTCTACTTCACATTCTAACATTAATCCAACAATTATTTCACATATAATATTATAACTATTATGCATGTATCATAAATGGTCTGAATCATATTGCATTCATGATATCTAAGAAAAAGTTATTTTACCTTTTTTTAATTTGTTTTGACATATAAAGGCTAATGTTTAGGCTTGCTATAATCATTTTTAATTATGAAGATTTACATACATATCCCTTGATTCATACGTATTTAAATATCTAATACCTAAATTTCAATTTTTTGCTCACACATATATCATCTTATTTATGCATGAGAATATGTAATTCACTTTTTAAAAATCAAAATTGTGATATTTTTTATGTGATACGAAAAAATTATATGATTAAATATAAAAAGCTAAATTTAAGTGCTAGATATGTAAATACATAGAAATTCAACCATGTGTATTTTAATATCATTTTGTAATAATTTTACAATAAGATTAAGAGGAATACAACTCTGTTCAAGTCGTAACCCAGTTTTTTTCCTTGATTAACTGCCACTAATAAAACTGTACATTAGTAAGTAATTAATTAATAATTTTTTTAATGTTTTTACTTGAACCATATGTGATACGACAAACAAATTTCATTATTAAACACAAATTTCGAAGTATATCACGAAATTTTGATACAATTTTTTCAGCAATAAACATTCAAACTTCAATTAAGAGTCATCCGAAATTCGATTTCAGCCAACTAATGGTCAAACTGGCTGACTGGATGAGACGGAGCTAATGATAAAAAAATAATCTAATCCGAGTCAAATCTAACCTTGATAAAGTTGTTAAACCACTTTTGAAAGATTTCTGAACGCATTTAGAAGGTCAAACAGATGTCGAATCTGGCGAGTTCATAGTCGAATCGAGCGTCTCGACAAGACAAATTTAACGAGTTCAAGATTGCTCAATTCCAACATCGTTATGACACTTAAATGCCCATCAAATATTTTTTTATTGAATGAAGCTCACTGGACTGCCCGATCAAAATGATTCATATTTCTCTATTAATTGCACTCATAACACTATAAATAGAGTCTCACCCCTCACATAAGAGATGAGCTTGAGCCTTGAGAAAGAACTTGAGGCTTTGAGAAGGAGTTGAAGTACAACATCATCCTTTCATCGTCGAGGACCGCCGATCGCCGTCGGCCACTATCGACTGTCGTCGACAGTCACCAACCAACTTCGATCACCACAAATCGTTGTCAACCACCACCAACCAGACTTCTTTAATCAATGTTGTAACTGAGAAAATCTAATAATCTTTTTTCTTTCTGTGGGACAATGAATTTATGCAATCATCAACTTATAGTAAATCTTTATAATTGGATCAGACTTCATGGCAATCATCAACTTATAGTAAATCTTTATAATTGGACCAGACTTCATGATTTTTCTTCTTTACGAGTTTATCCGCCTAAGAATTTCTGGTATCATTACTTATTATTTTTTTTCACCTGACTGTAAATTTTCTAGCACGCACCAATATGCTTTCGTTAAAAGCATAGTCTTAGGGGGCCGTCATGAATGATGCCTTGTTCATAATATCTAAATATAATATATACGCGGCTTTGTACCTTCTTATCACATAAACCCATTCAAAATTTGCAAAGTTTTAGCCTAAAAGCTTTGCAGATCAACCATAACATCAGTATTTAAATGCCTCATTAGTTGCCCAAATAGCCTATTGTCGGTTGCAGGCCACGTGTCTAAATTAATTACACCGTTTGGTCAATATAAAATAGAATAATTAATTCTTTAATGTCAAATTTTTAATATTTTAGTGGGGTGATTACCAAATGCAGCATTAGAATTTTACCGTTTACTAATTAAAACATATTTATTACATTTTAATACCTATATTAATATTAGTCACCCATTGATGCAACATATAAAATATTCAATTCGCAGCAAGACAGTTTAACTTACAATAATCAATTACTTCCCCTGGCATCAAGTACACGTACATAATTTAAGTACTAAGAAATATATACAATGGCTGAGCTCAATTTGTGGAATTCAATCACCAAATAACTATTTTTTTTACAAAAAATAACCTATAAATAAATATAATCATACTTTTCTTCAACCTTAGAACTCATTTATTATGTCTTTATGCTTGTAATTTGTCTAAATAATTAATAATACTCCACGCAAATAAATATAGCTGGCCTCCACTACCTTCGCCGGCAAACTATTTCATTTAATTAAATAACCATACAGCCAAAAATCTTACTTTCAGCCATATCCAACATGCACATATCCATGAAAAAAATTTGCGTCTAACAGGTTACAGGGAGGATTTTAGGAGGTTATAACCGCGTTATACCCCATGTAATCTCCTTGTAACCTCCGTGTAACCTACCCATATATGAAAACAGAAGCGCGGAACTTACTCGAAGGTACGGGTAAGGTAAAGGGAGTATGTAACTTACAGGGAGGTTACAGGGGGTATAACGCGGTTATAACCTCCTAAAATCCTCTCTATAACATGTTTGCAGGTTACAGACGTACGCAGCTCTGCGTACGTCTTATGTAGGCAAATTTTTTCTCATATCCACAACACATACGAAAATATAATTAATTATATCCTAATCGGATATTAAATATTTAGATTCATTCATTAATAAATTATTTTTGTTAATAAATTTTTGTTATGGTTGGCTATATTTATGATGATATATGATTTGATTGATAACTACTAAGATTTATGATTGGGTGCATGCCATGCTATACATAGCTTGTGGATAAACATTTTTATTTTTGTTTTCCTTGCACTCATGTGACATTTGCATGACAATAAAGATTTACATAAATACGACGGCTACGTTCTCGTAAATGCTGAAAAATGAAAAGCTTAAGCATGCTTAAGAGCCATCAATCAATGCAAATTCAAAACTATTTATGCATGGAAATTAAATCATTTAATTTGTTATGAGACAAGCAATTAAACAAGCTACTTGCTCTTGTATATTAATGAAAATTTATAGATAGCGAAGAATTTTTAAGCATAAATATTTTGCAATTATAACAAACATTTTGCAGCGCCAAACACCTTTTTTTTTCATTACAATCTGATATATTAATCACCCTGACGACTTTCCAAAATCGGCCCTTTTTCTCGATGTCAACTTACCATAAAATGTCGCCGGCATGGTAGAAATGTAATTATACAATTAGCTTGTACCAGTCTCGTTAACGCTCGCACATGCCATCCGAATAAAAAAAATTAATGCTCCTTAAATTTCAACTTATCATTAAAGGTTAGATCAGCTTTCTATTTGTGCCCCGAATAATGCTAATTAAATATATGGTTGACATTTTTTTCTAAAAAATATTTATCAAATAATTAATTATTTTATCAAAAAAAAATCCTCAAGCAAAAATAACGATCACGAGCATTGTCATAAGAAAAAAACAATTTCTATTTTTAGCAAAATTAAAATTTCCTGCACAGTTTGCTGATCTACCCCAAACAATATCGATCTGCAATTGCGCTCAGTTAAATCGACGGCCCACCTTTATTTGGACGAGAACACAGAATTTATAAGAGAATATTTATTAAATTATTTATTTCACAAAATCAGGAAACTCAAAGAGACCACTCTCCAAAAAAAAAATATATATATCACTCATCTCCTGTTCTATTCACAATCTATTTCTAATCAAATCTCATAATCTAATTATTTATAAATTTACATAGAATCTAACTAAAAAAAAAAGAGAAAGATGTTGGGGCTTAATTTAAATTTAAATATTAGATGTGGTGCAATTACTTACGACCGACAAATAAGAGAAGAGAGAGGGCAGGGAGAGAGTATGTGCACACATACACGCTCTCTTTTTGGTCATAAGTGAGTTCAACACACCTAATATTTATTTCTATTCGTCGGGCTCTTCCGCAATGCTTCTGAGCACGGGCCTCCAATGATAGTGAATAATGTCATTAGAGTCTGTCATGCTCATATGTATGAGATCTTTCATCACATCTCCAACGGTTAAGCCTTTAGCATCCGCTTTTCTCAGCAGCTCCAGTAGCTTTTTCTTGCTGATTCTGATCCTCACCTCCGTCGTCGATGATGCAGTAGACTCTACTCTTTCGGCAATTCCTCGCACTTCATCCGTCTGAATCAAATGCTCTTCTATGTCGTCGTCGATGTCGTCGGCCCAAACCACCGGCTGCCGGCTGCAAAGACAATTGCCCATCTTTTTACCGGCTTTTATTTCTCCAAAGTTTTGATGGTTTTGGAAGGAGTTGGAGAGGTTCTCAACGGGAGAGAGGAGGATTTTATAGGAGGTGGGATTATTGGGTGGAAAGTGCAGGGAAATGAATGTGCGCCCGGGATGGGAGAGGAAAAGGTCAGCGAGCCAATCCGGAGTCCACGTAGGATGCCGACTTGGCGGGTAAGTAACCAATGCACCACCGACACGACCGCGAAGTCGGTTGTATATATGGACGGCGGTGATTGAGGATATGGAGGGTAGTTTGGGATGGGTGTGAATGTGGTGGGGAAGGGAATCTTTTTTTGGTTGTAGTGTGAACGGGGTTGGGTGAGGGCATATATCGGGTTTAAAATTCTGCGGTGATGACTGATGCGAGTGTTCGTCACGTGCTTCGGCCTCGAATTGCTAATGCCTGGTTCTATTTCTAGAATTTAGAAAAAAACTTTTATTTCTTCTATTTCCTACTCGTTTTTTTTTTGACCAAATAATTTCTTAGTTAAACTATGAATATCATAGTTAAAATTTCTACTCAGCATTTTTTTCATAAATGAAAAACATTAGATATCACAAAAGAAATATTTTTATAAACAAATTGTAAAATAAAAGTAACAATAACTTATAATTTGATAAATGCGTTTATTTTTTTTTATATAATGCTATGTTACATCTTAAATGAAAGAAAAAACAAAATGTATATATATATAT